CACAGGGTGAAGACATGTGGGAAATGATCTTGGGAACTGCAGAGTGCACGAGGCAACCAAACCCTCCACTTCCGGGGCAGTGCCAGGCGCTGCCAGGGTCGGGCCACCTGGGTGCCTTCACCTTGAGTCCTCGATCCCACCCCTCTGCCTCACCTGGGCTCCTGATTGGCCACTTCTTCCCGGTACCGCACCCCATTACTGTTCCTGGCTTCCCTTCCCCGGGCAGTTTGATGGATTCCACCTTTCCCACGCCTGTCACCTGAATGTCTGTGTCCCCACCCCACCTTGATTCCTGTGTAGAAGCCCAGCCCCCAAGCTCAGGGCCCTGGGAGGCGATCTTCTCGTGAGTGAAGCGAGTGACCTTACGAAAGCACCTCAGAAGGCCCCTCACCTTCCCGGCTTGTGAGCATGCAGCTGAAGGCGACATCTGCAAGCCAGGAAGCAAGACCTCGCCAGACACAACGTGCCACGCCCTGGCCTGGGCTTCTCGGTCTCCAGAAGCTGTGGCTAAGCCACCAGCCTGTGGTCTTCTGTTACAGCAGCAGAAGCAGACAGGGACGCTGTCCTAAGATGATTTCTCTGGATTCTGTCTTTTGAGCGGAAGTCAGAGGGGAACCTGGACTCGGGGTCTCCCTTGCCATCAGCCCCACTCACAAACCCTTCAGCCCCTGAGGTTCGCACGGCTCCAATTTCATCTGCCCTTCTGAGGACCCCACTGCGATGCCCCCTCTCTGCACGCTGTGGTTGGTTCTGGGCCTGGCACAGTGCGCTGAGACTCTGAGGTTGGGCTGGGGCACCATGCGGGGCGCAGCCATGGCAGCACACAGCCCACGTTCAGCTCTGGGCTCAAGCCTGGCCCAGCTGGAGGTCCTCTTCCCCTCTGCCACCTCCCAAGCCTGTCCTCCCAGGAGACAGCGCAGTCGCCAGACCTCAGGCCACGCCAGCCCAGGCCCAAGGCCAGCTTCAAGATGGCGCCCGGCCTGGTCCAAGTCAGCAGCCTCTGTGGAGGACACGGGCCCTGGGGTACACTTGGGGGCGCTTCCTGTCTGAGCCTGTGGCCCCCAACCGCTGGCAGCACGGGTTTCCGGCAGAGCTGCGGCCGGGGCCTGCACTATCAGCTCGGCACCAGACACCCGGCCAGGATACTTGTGGTGAAACTGTGAGGGTGCCCTGCTCCTGTGGGGTTTTCTCCCATGTCACCTCCAAGACAAATGGAGGCAGAGAGTGACACCCAGCCCTTCTTCAGCCCTGTTTTCCCCTCTCTGAGTCAGGGGCCGGGCGGCAGGCACCTGCCAGGGCTGGGGCCCCGACACCCAACCCATGGCTGCAGGGACATCTCAGGACTGCAGCTGAGGAGAAGGCCAGGCCCAGGCCACTGGGGACCCGCGCGTAGCGGGGCTGCATGGACCCGGCCACTCTGGGGACCTAGACAGTGCAGGGGGGAGAGGGCCCCTCCTCACTTTGTGCGGGCCACAGAGGCAGGGTGCGCTGCGTCCAAAGCCAGAGGACAGGTGCCAGGTGCCTGGGCATACCACCTTGCGCCCAGGGAGGCCGGGCCCGGGCCAAAGCTTTGCACCAGGGCCCCGCTTCACCCCCGCTCTGAGATTTACAAGGGGGAAACTGAGGCTCTGTTTACTACTGCGGAAATCAGGGGCCGGGCAAGTGCAAGGCTGCTCACAGCCCGAGACGCCGGGCCTCCGACAGCCAAGGAGGCCAGGGTCAGCCCAGGGTGGGGCGGGGCTGGGGGGGTTGCAGGTGCCTCCGCATGGTCCCGCCCAGGAAGGTGTGGGGACCACCTGCCCGGCAAGCCTAGTTGGCCCCATGGTCCAGGCGAGGCATCTGCAAACCCAGCTCTCACCCATGGACCCTCATCAGCCCGCAACTGCGCCCCTGCGGACCCCAGATCCAGTTCCGGTCGGGGAAGGGGCGATTGATCCTGGTTTGCAACGCTAGGTGGCGCCCCAGCCATTGGCTTCCTGGGAAGGCCGGGCCCCAGGGGTCTTTAAGGCGAGGCAGCCTTGCGCGTGCGCGAATCCTCTAGCCCGAACCAGCCTTCTGCGCCTGCGTACTCGCCATCCTGGGCTGGCGCCCCCTAGCGAGCTGCCAGTGGAATTTATAGGGACACCAGCACGCACGCGCAGCTCGTCTTCAGGCCTGCAAGCAGCCGCCGGCCCAGCAGAGGGCGCCCTCGCCTAGCGCGGTCCGCGCGCAGTGCTCAGTTTTCTGGCTTCGCTCTAAGAAGTGAGCAAGGTTTCCTGTGCGTCCGGCGAGGAGGCTGGGCGCACCCAAGGGTGGGGGCTCAGCAGCTCCCAAAGGAGCGAGCCCCCCCCCCCAGGCCCCAGAGGCTGGATTACCCGGGAATGCCGAAGATCACGCAGCCCCGCCCTGCCAGCACCCCTGGGACCAGGGCGCTGGGACCGGAGCAGCGGTGCCGTCGCCGGGTGGCGAGCACTTGCTGTGCCACTTGGCTTTTATTACTCGGGGACAACTCACAGCCGTCCTCGGGCAGATGACAGCGCTGCTGCAGTTGACACTCGAGGAAACCGATGCTCTGAAATCGACAGCCGCGGGACGCCCTGGGTCGCCCCCACCGTAGAATCCGACTTCCCTGTTCGCGGAAGCCCTGGGTTGTCCCCATCCTAGATCAGCTCTAGGAGCCCTACAGCCTGCTTCTGACACATCCCTGGGTGCAGTGGGAGCCCCGTTCAGCCCGGCTCCGACGCACGGGGAGCACGGCCCTGGCCTCGCTGTGGGTGGGTGTTTCTGTGAACCCGCTCGGAGCCCGGGCATCGCTGCCTTCCTCTTGCTTGGCCTTCTGGCAGCATCTGCTGATGGCTCAACCATCGACACATTATTTTTTAAAGAGAATTTTAAAAAATAAAATAAAAATGACACAATTTCAAAACAAGATGACAGGAAATTAGTAATGGTTGTCATATTGCATAGTTATCTTCATAGTTAAGATTACCAGATACAGGCATGCAAAACTGATCAAATCAGGCATTAACTGTTCCTTTCAATAAACCAATAGAATTAGTAGTACAATTATCTTATCTATCGTGTGTGTGTGTGTGTGTGTGTGTGTGTGTATTCTCTCCCTTCTTTTCCCCTATCCCAGTTGTTCTTGCCTTCTGAACAGTTTCTTTCCCTTTCATAGTATCTATTGTACTTTTCAGATTTTACTGTTTGAGGTTCTTACACTAGGGAGACAATACAGTGTTTACATATGCGGGTCTGATTTATTTCACTTATGAGTATGGTCTCTAGTTGCATCCACTTACTTGTAAGAGCCTCAAGTTTATCTTTCTTTATAGCTGAGTAATACACCATTGTATAAAAATACATCTTCCTTTATTAATTCCTTAGTTGATGGGCATTTGGGTTGTTTCCAAGCTTTAGCTATGACAAATTGTGCTGCTATAAACATGAGTGTACATACATCCCTGTGGTATGATGCTTTAAATTCTTCTGGAAAAATACCCAGAAGGGGAATAGCTGGGTCAAATGGGACCTCTAATCCTAGTTTACTGAGGAATCTCCACATTGATTTCCACAGTGGTTGCACCAGTCTACACTCCCACCAACAGTGGAGAAGGGTTCCTTTCCCCCCACAGCCCCTCTAGCATTTGTTATTGGTTGATTTCTTGGTTTTTGCAAATTTTTTTTTGATACCAGGAACCAAATTCAGGATCTTGTGCTTGCCAGGCAGGCACTTATGCCGCTGAGCTATATCCCTGGCCCTTGGTTGATTTCTTGATGATAGCCATTCTTTCTGGAGTGAGATAGAATCTCAGTGTTGTTTTAACTTGCATTTCTTGACTGACCAACAATGTTGAACATTTTCTCATATGTTTATTGCCATTTGTATTTCTTCATCTGAAGTGTGTATTTATCTCAGATGTCCACTCTTTGGGTATATGAATTTTTTAAATTTTTAAATTTAAATCTCAGTGCAAAGGCCCTGGGTTCAACGCCCAGTCCTGCAAAGCCTGCCCAGAGTAGGCAGGTGGTGGCAGCAGCTCTCAGCCTGCACCTGAGCTGTGCCAGCTGTTCCCCCTGCACTCCACAGCCCCGGGTGCCACACGTGACTCGCAACAAGTGCAGATGAAAGGACGGGCACAGTGGGCAAAACCTGCAGGCTCGGGCACCAGGGCAGGAGTCACAGGCACTGAGTGAAGTGAGGTGGAGAGCGGCCAGGAGGGCAGAGGTGTGGGGGGACCTGACCGAGTCTGAGGTCCGGAAGGCTGACCGGGTGACTGGTGCAGATGGAGGAGCACCTCAGGGAATGCAAGTGCTGTGGGCCCTTCTAATCCCGCCTGCATCACACCGACCTTCAGCCAGAACACAGACATAAGCGTGTCTCCCATGTTTGGGCTCCCCTTGATTGTAAGGTTTCCCTGAAAGCCACCTCTTGGGCTTGTCCCACCATGCAGCCCCGTGTTGCATACTCTCCAGCTTATTCCACGGGTCCCCTCCATATCCCAAGCCCTGGCCTCCACAGGGCCTTGGCACTTGTGGCAGCCCCGTCCTGCCTCCCCGCAACGGATGGGTCAGTGTCTCCCGCACATGCCACGGAGTTGGTCAGGAGCTGGATCTGTCCTCAGTGCCCTGAATGCCTGTCCCCTTCGAGAGCCACCTTGCTTTGCCCCTCACTGCCTACTTCATGCGAAGCAGGAGACGGACACAGGCACAGGACGAGAGGCCACTGTGACCTGTGACCACATAGGTTCTGAGTGTGTTCTGGTGCTACGTGACTTCAGGGTACCAAGGGACATAAGAACAACCAAGACGCCATGATGTATACCGTGCCCCAAGATGAATGTGATTCTGCATTGCAAAGATACACTGATAAAAAAGAAATTAATACGCCAGTGTTCTAACATATAAAATCTGAATACCTGCCTTGCAAATGGGCCCAGGGGAGCCACTGAGTTAAAAGCCCTTGATTCCAGTGCTGTCCCCAAGGTTAAGTTGCAAGTGATTTCCGACAGAACCGCGGGGAAGTTCACAGTCTCTGCTTTATTTCCACTTAGTCATACACGGTTTTAAAAAAACACATCCTCACCAGAGAACCAAACATCAGGAATCAAAAGGTAGAAAGGCAGGGGCTTCCACTGAAAACACACCCAAGCACCGGAACAGAACAGTGCCAATCGAAAGTCTTTGTTCAGAACGCAAAAAGGTTTGGGTTTTAATGGGATAAAGACTTTTAAAAAAAGAAAGACTCAGGGCAGAGGGAGGAGCCAGCTTCGCGCCTCCCCACGGGGCAGGGCCGGCTCCTCCGGTTTTGCAAATCTCACACACGCAGCCCCTGCGCCTCAGTGCTCAACTCCCCACGGGCCCGCGCCATGTGCCCCGCCAGTTACAAGGCATCGAGGATGTGGTCGATCTTGGTGACCAGTTCCTGGCGCTTGGCCGAGATCAGCTTCTCGTTCTCCAGGTATGTGTCCTTCTTTAGCTTGCCGGCCACCAGCCGCTCGGCCTCCACCGCCGCCTTCAGCACCAGCTCCTTCACCTGCGCGTCCAGCTTCTGCATCTCGCTCACCTGGCAAGGCAGGGCGGGGCCTGAGTGCGCCCTTGCCCCCACCCAGCCCACCACACTCGCCTGGGCCCTGCCAGCACCACCACCCAGAAAACGTCCCTCACGCCCTCACCCAACAGGCGCTCCCTGCAGGACCCCGAGCCTCCCCGAAGGCAGCACTGTGGGGCTCTGTGCAGAAGCGTGCAGTCACCAGGAGCCACGCTGGCATGCACGGTACGTGAATGCTCTGCCCCTCCCTGCCGCCTGCCCAGTGAGATCCCTGGATCCAGGCAGGCAAGAGACCCATGGTTCAGGGTGTGCCAGGCTGTTCCCTGTGTGGTCACATTCATTCAGCGTTCAGCAAGCAGGCACAGCTTGGGCACAAGCCCCGGCCCAGGAGCCAGCAGGAAGGACGTGAGGACGAGGTCCTCGTGAAGCCGGCACATAGTGAACATGCAAGCACGTGAAGAAACTGTGCCAGCAGCGGCAGGTGCTGCACAGAGACGGGCAGCAGGTGGGGGCACAGAAGTGAGGCACCTGCCCAGGCTCACACGGCTGGAACTGGAGCCTAGATCTGAAGCCAAGATGGCTGCGTCTGGGTTCTTCCCGCCCTGGCCGGTACAGCCTGCATGCAGGGAGCGAGGAGCTGCCCTCCACGCCAGCCATGCGGACGCAGCTCCGGCCGGGCAAACGGCTTCCCCAGCTCAACCCTCCCAGACCCCAACACACTTGTGCCACGAAGGCGGGCCCCACACGAGCCCAGGGTGGGCCACACAGGACCTGCGAGCAGGGGAGCCCCCCGCCCCACCCGAACAGAGGAGCAGGGTGCCACCCTCGCCAGCAGCACCAACGCAGCTGGGAAGGACCGCATGCCAGCCACTTACTCTGTCGCACAGGTCGGAGCCTTCGGTCTTCAGCCTGGACTGCAGCAGCGCAATCTCGCCGGTCAGGGCTTTGTGCTCCGTCTCCAGGCTCTTCTTGCCACTGTTGAGGGTGGACATGTCCCGGGACTGCTTGTACCGATTTATGGTCTCGTCGAAGTGGCGGTAGAGGCCTATCCTCTTATTGACCAGGGTCAAGACCTGCTCGGTGATGCAGGCCACCTTCATCCTGGCCTCCGCAGCTGGATCCTGGAGAACAAAGACACACAGCTGACGTCAGATCGGCACCCACGATGCCCCAACCCCCCCAAAGACAGCCATCACTATGAGCCACCCTAACAGGAGGTCCCCTTCTCGGGTGGGTGGGGAACCAAACCCTCCCAGCACGCAGGACCAGACTCAGCAACAGACAAGCCAAGGGCCGTGACGCTGAAGCCGACATTCATTAGTCAGGCCCACGGGACAGACGTCAAGGGGGAATCATGCCAGCCCACCCTGCCCCATGTCCACACCACTCCTAACTGCAGCTCACAGGCTCACTCTGGTATGCACGCTGTCAGCCAGCTCCCAACTACTGTGTCCCCAAGAAATCATCAAAGCTCTGCAGTACGGCGACGAGTACACAAGAACGAACCGGCGAGGAAACCTCGGCCCTGCCGTGCCCAGCACAGGGAGCCGCCGAGAGGCAGCTACCAGCCAGGGGTGGGGGTGGGGCGTTCTCAGGAGAGACTTCCCAAATGAAAAGGCGGAACAAAATATGCTATTTCTTTTTAAATCAAGAACACCACTGACTGATGAAATTGATCCCCCCAAGAGTAGGGGTGAAAAAGAATGCAATAAACTGCACCACCTGTAAGTTTTACATTTAAACCTGTGAATTCATAATCAAAATTAAATATTAATAATGGAATGGAAACCGGAATAAAATTCAAACATAAATAAATGAACCTGGGGGCTGGGGGTTTAGCTCAGCGGCAAAAGCGCCTGCCTGGCAAGCGCAAGGTCGTGAGTTCGGTTCCCGGTACCGGAAAAAAACCAAAAAATAAATAAATAAATAAATAAAAAATAAATGAACCTGCTGGGCGTGGTGGTACATGTCTGTGATCCCAGCACTCACAAGGCTGAGGCAAGAGGATCATTGAGTTGAGGCCAGCCTGGGCTACATTACCAAGTTCAAGGTCAGCCTGCACTACATAGCAACTGTCTCAAAAAAACACGAACCAAAAAGAGAACCGAACCCTTCAAATGAACAACACGGGAAGACAGTAGGAGCCAATCCAGGTCCTGTGGGGCCGCAGCGCCATCACAACACTGTACGGACGCAAGAACTGCAGACCAGCTGGCCAGTGCCACAGGTCACTGTTGGGTTTGCTGCTGTGCGGTGGGGGCAGTTGTGTAACTGCTGCGTGTGCAGACACAGCGAATGAATCTACTCCAGTTGTTGGACTCAAAAGGAATAAGGAAGATGAGCAAGATCCCAGGGCGCCGGACGCATGGGAGGGGCCGGTATTAACTCTATTACAGAATTTCTTCCCAGCTGCCTGCTGAAAGGTCCTAGACGCAAGGATCACCTTGCCAACAATGATCACCCCAGCTCACAGACGCCATACAGAGGGCCCCACCAAGCAACTGGGGCTCCTGGGCGAGGAGAGCAAGACACACTGGAACAGGCTGTTGTCCTGAAAGTAAAGAAGTGCTCAGAAAACAAAACAGAAAAAGGAAATGTGAAAGACAGTCAAACCTGAGGTGACAGGAACACCCAAACCAACAGCATCAGCGGACAGTACCACATATGCAGTTAACCAGCCAAGGAGAAGCCTTTCCCCTGCAGCAGAAAGCCAGCTAGTGATGTAAAGGGAGCCAGATCAGTAACGACCGTCACACTAAGCAGACTAAGACAACAATCAATAATATACTATTGATCAGTAATATTCATACTCAGCAAGTTGAAAAATACAGTGAAGAGTTTTTTAACATTTATTACCGTAAAAGATACCACCAGGAATCCCCCTGAAGACATGCACCCTCACTTCGCACACGCCGATCCACTGCTCTCGCCCTTGCCGCTTTCTGAACCAATTCAGGAAGTTCTTCCGTGAGAATATTTAGTTGAGTCATCAAGGCTGCCTTAATGTCCTGAACTGACTCAAAACATTTCCCTTTCAGAGTCATTTTGACGCTGGGGAAGAGTCAGAAGTCACAGGTGCCAGGCCCGCTGAAAAGGGGGCAAGGACACAGCTCCACGTGTTTACAAGCCTCCCTTTCCGCTGGGTGGCACTCGGCAGCCACATTCACCATGTTTCTGATCATGCCTCACCCAGGCACTCAGGAAGGAGGAAAGCGGCAAGAGCGATGGGATCAGTGCGCTGGAAGTGAGAGGGTGTTGGGGGGATTCATGGCCGTGTGTCTTTTACTGTAATATGTACTTCCCAGACATTCACTGTGTATCTTGGTCACCTCTTGAACAGCCTCAAATCCATACCAACCGCAAAGAGAAAAGACTAACTTTACAGTGAAGACACCAAACAGGCCCCAGCTTAAGCAGGGAGAAAAGTCAACGTCACCAAGGTGGACCCACCAGCATCAGCTCCCTCCTGCCATGACACCCTGGCATCACTTTGCAGTGTCCTGGTCGATTTCATCAGGAAGAAACACCACTCACCTGAGCTAAAGCACATTCCACACAGCTTGTCTGCACCCCTCAAACGCCAGGCTCAGTAAAGTCTGAGACATGCTGAGCAACTGCTCCCAATACAGGAACAGGAGGGCACAGAGACCTGACAATCGATGCAACCCCGCTCCTCCACTGAATTCTGACAATGGAAATAACTGCTACGAGAGCCTGGTGTAGTGTTGCATGCGTGGAATCCCAGCAATCTCGGAGGCCAAGGCAGGAGAATTCCAAGTTTGAGACAAGCCTGGGCAAACTGACCCTATCTCAAAGTAAAAAAATAGAAAGTTCTGGGGACGCACCTCAACGTCCACGAAAATACAGAACACACTGGCACAGAACACATCCTTGGGACAGTCTGTCCCACAGGTGCCATTTTAGTAACGTATTTCCAAAATTTAGTCACTGTGCTGTGATTGTGTGAGACCTTTGGTATCATATACACGTTTAAAGGTTCCAGGATAAGGGGTATGGTTGCAACTTATCAAGTCATTCAGCAAAGCTATAGTAAATGATTATATTAAATAAAAATACGTTTTCATTGTTCTTTCAAAGTTTTTAAAATCAGTGAAACAAAACAAATGTAAAAATCAATGATGTTGGGCATTGTAGCCTAGGCCTGTAATCCCAGCACTCTCCAGGCTGAGGCAGGAGATCGTTGTGAGTTCGAGGCCAGCCTGGGCTACAAATTGAGCTCAAGGCCAGCCCGAACTGCACAGCGAAATCTTGTCTCAAAAAAGGAAAAAAAAAAGAAAAATAAATCAATGAAACAGCCTGGTGTGGTGGCACATGCCTGTAATCCCAGCACCGGGGAGGCAAAGGCAGGAGGATCGCTGTGACTTTGAGGCCAGCCTGGACTACACAGTGAGTTTAGGACCAGTCTAAATTACATAGTGAGACCCTGTCTGTCTCTCTCTCTAACACACAAAGAATATAAAATCAGTGAAACGAAGTCTTCACAAATGGGGATGATTCCTTTACACACAGGACAAGTTCAGCTGGCACCTGCCCCAGGCAGCCTTGCCCACTGCGCAGTGGGGCACCCTGATGCCACCGCAGGTCCCACCACAGCCCCTGCAGCTGCAGGTCTCTCCCACCATTCTGCCCATCACTCCTTGGGAAGCTGCCCTGCACCCACCGCTACCAACAAGAGCACAGTAGTGCCAGGCTGATGCCCCAGGACTCAAGCACCAGCGGCAGCCTCCTGCCATGCCCACTATTCTGAGTGCCCACTGCCGGTGCCCGGGACTGGACGCACTTGTAAACAGTAATGGTGCGGAAGGACAGGAAATGAAGGGATAGAGCAGACACCAGAGGACTGAAGATGCCCTGTGGGTGGTGTGGCCTGGCTGGTCAGCAGGCGGTGCCCCAGTTCCAGGTCAGCCAGACATTTCCCCACCTCACCCAAGCACCCCGAACCAGGCCGGGCAGGAAGCAGGGACTTCACGGGGTGTCTGGCGATCACAGCATCCGGGAAGGAATGGGCAGAGGCCCTGGCTGGGAGGCTCTCAGGTGACAGGGTCTGGCCCCGGCGTGCTCAGGCCAGGCTGCTGAACCCACCACAGAGGGCACAGACTTCGCTGGGCGGTGGTACCTTGGTGATGGAGAAGTCCAGGCGCACATAGATGATGACGGTGAAGAAGAGGATGTAGAAGGCGGCCACCACCAGCAGGGGCTCCTGCAGCATGAGCACCTTGTTGAAGGTGTAGTGCACCTGAGGAGAGCAGGAGTCAGAGGGCGCTGGGCTGCAGGACTAGGGAGCCCAGCGCGAGGACGCCAGGGGGCGCCACTCACCACGATGTCCTGGATGTGCTGCTCCACCAGGTTCCTCTTGTAGGCCACTATCACCGGGCGGCCGAAGGTGTCCAGGTAGGTGTAATGCAGCTCATCTGGGGCCCGCGTGATCTCATAGGGGCTGTTGACCTGGATGTTCCTGGACACGAACAGACAGGATGTGGCTGGGCCACTGGAGTCACCGCGCTCCCCACCTCCCCTGCTCCGCCAGACGGCTGGGCACCGTCAGGGAGCCTGGGGAGCGGACGTCAGCAGATCCAAGTCCCCCCACGGCCCCAGGTGCCAGCTGCACGCCCTGGGGGCACAGGCGACACAGCCCCCCCCAACATGCTCTACATCGAGTCTTTGGTCACTCAGGTGCCCCCCACGGGCTCTGCTTCCTCCTGTGAACTGCACCACCGCATAGGGCTGGTGGCTGCACACTGCTGTCCTCTGCCCGGGCTCCTGTCCCTCCCCCCGTTAAGCAACACGGCCTGCCCCACAGGACACTGTCCACAGGAAGGACACTCCAGGTGCCTCTCATCCTGGGGAGCAGCGTGGATACGGAACGCCAGAGGCCAGATGGGCCAGGAGATGTAGAGCAAAGGCACAGAGACGGTGGGCAGTTGCCTACGTTGCTCATCCAACCCGCCAGATGGGACTCCAGCACAATTCTGGGCCCCTTTCCAAAGCCTGGCTCCTCAACACGTCATCAGTGGATAACAGGTTGCTACCCTCGCCATAACGCCCTCTGCTGAGAATGCCAGGCAGGCCAGCTTGCAAACACGGACCCTGGCACATACTCTGAGCTCCTTCCCTGTGAGCCAGGGCTCCTGGCACAGAGAAATGTGGGCGTGGTGCACTATTCTCCACGCTCTGCTCATGTGGCCAGGTCCAGCTGTCTGTCTGGATCCGTGCTCCACCCTGATGCACCACAGCCTCAGGTGCCAGCGCACTGGTCTGGCACAGAAACTATACCATCACACGAGGGCACCACCGCTGAAAGACTTGGCACTTGGTCCCCAGGCCCTCCTTTGAGTCTAACTTCCTTTTAAACCGCAGTCAGAAAGCTCCCTGCCAGTTTCTCAGGCCAAGTGTTCAGTGAGGACCTGCTCTGCGCCCCCAGAACACGGGTTCCCCTGGGGGCACAAGAACAGCCACTCACTTGGCGCCTTCAGGCAGGATGATCTTCACCGTCAGGGAATCAATCACTTGCTCATCAAACACGTGGTCCACAAACCGCATCTTCAGTGCGTACTGGTCACCTGCAGGGCCAAGCAGACGAGGCAGGGACATAAACACCAGACAGGACAACAGAGGAGACACGGAGCTCGGCAGGACAGCACTTACCTGGCATGGCAAGGCCCGAGTTCTAATCCCAGCAACCCCCTCCAAACCCCCAGTGTACATGAGAGGGAGGAGAGAGGCCACCTCCAGCTAGAGGGCAGGAGATGCCGTGGGGACACAGGTCTGGCTCCTCTCCTGATGGAGTGACTGACAGCAAAGCCAAGGCCCCATGCACCACATGACAACCAAACTGGGCCACAGGGGTTTCCAAAAACCCCCATCCCAGGCAGGGTAGGGGACAATGCCAGGCACAAGACCCACATGGCACCAGCGGCTACCAGAGGGAAGCAGGGAGGCCCCAGGGGACTCGGTATAGCCCCAAGGACAGCAGGTGCCCCGAGAGCAGGAGGCTGCAGCTCTGGGTGCTCTAGGGCCTGCCACATGGTCCTTCAGGGACCGTGACCTACGCCTGGACAAACAGTCGAGCAGAACCAAGATGGAGTACAACAGGGCCAAGAGACAGGGAAAGCCAGCCCAGGAGAGCTCAGGAGGAGCCTCGGGTCGCTGAACACCACCCCGCAACAACAGCGCTCTGCAGTTACAAGGGTGTCCTGAGCCAGCCTCTGCCTAACGACCACACGAAAACCAGCGAGAAGCGTAGACGGGCCTGACACGGAGAAGTTGTACAGGAAGACGCCAGCAACAGAAAACATCCCTAGAGAAAACGGAAGCACACCACGGGAGACACCCACCAAGCCACCAAACTGCTGCTGCTGGCCACTGCGTCCTCCCTGGCACGGTGGCCCACCCTCACACCACAGTGCGCTTCTTTTCCTACTTTTACGGGGCCCAAACTTGTTCTGCAGAGACTGTTTCTTTTCCTACCTTTATAAAACTTTGCTACCAAAAACAGAAAACAAACTGCTGTTACTGCCCAAAACAGGCTAAAGATAAGGGAAATAACAAAAGGCATGAAAAAATATAAATGAGAATTAGAAAAATGATAGAAATTAGGAAAAAAGCTCAGAAGTAAAAGAATCATCTTAAAAATGAAGGGTAAAGTAGATGGAATAAAGCATGAATAAACACATAATGCCCTAAGGGGCTGGGGATTTAGCTCAGCGGCAAAAGCGCCTGCCTGGCAAGCGCAAGGTCGTGAGTTCAGTTCCCCGTACCGGAAAAAAACCAGAAAAACCAAAAAAAAAAACCCCACATAATGCCCTATAGTAAAGAGAAAGGGAGAAGAAGAATTTTAAAGAAAGAAAAGACTCAAGAGAACAGGCCAAACAGTAAAGACAGGAAAAGCTCCAACACAGAAATAATAGGGCTCTCCAAAGGAAAAAAGCCTCAGAGAGGTTCAGAACTACAAGCTCAAAAAGCACAACCAACAGCCAGGGCAGGTGCTGCCAAGCTAAGTTCCAGTAAGGGCATTAATGAAGAGTCCCTTTCAGCAACTGCTTAAGAAGGAAGTGGGGAGGGGGGGCACACTAAGCCCCTCCTCCTGTCAGCTGATTCTTGCTCTGCACACCTGGGACTCCAAGTAGGCGAGCGGAGGAAGTGACTCTGACTAAATTCTGCCTAACAGATGAAAAAATGAAATGCTAGAGACAGAGCAGCGATGTGCTGTACCCGGCAACCTATGGTATCTAGGAATTGAGCGTTACAAAAGGAAACACGGGACGGGAGTGCAGCCGGGCATGATGGTGCACACCAGCAACCCTCGGGTTCAGGAGGCTGAGAGAGGAAGATCGCTAACTTGACATCGCCCTGGGCTACACAGAAGTTTAAATCCAGCCTGGGCTTCTGTTTGCCTCACAACCACAGCACCAACCTTCCAGGAGGAAGATGAATCATCACCTCCAGTCTGCTAAGGGGAGGGGCCTGAACCTAACAAGGCACAGGGCCAGCCGCCAGTTTGCAGGAGACAGGGGCACAACTGGTGGAACATAGATTGTGGGTTCACTGCAGGTGCCTCAAGGGCTTCAGCGAATGAACTGGAAAGAAAACATCGGCGAACACTAACAGATAAAATAGACTTCAGATGAGTACTTGTAAGAGGGCAAAACTGAATAGTTATCTAGAGACGCTTAGGGTTACAACTATGAAGAAAATACAAAAAAAAAAGTGACTACTAAAAGTCAGCATGTTGATTTCTTTATGGAAAAGGAAGAAATACTCTGAGTAGCAGGCAAATTTTAATTTTTTTCCCTTTCTTTCAAGATGGGGTTTGCTATGCTGCCCAAGTAGGTTTCAAATTTCTGAGCTCCAGCCATCCTCCTACCCCGGACTGACTATGGGGGCTCGTACCATGGCTGCTTGATGAATTTTCATTTCTTGATCTGGGTGGTGGTTATAAAGTAGTCCTCTTTTGACAATTCACTGAGCTATGCCCTATTTGTTTAGTGAGGTTAAAAAAAAATTTTTTTAAAGGTAGAATAGGCACGGTGGCATACACCTGTCATCCCAGCATTAGGAGGCTGAGGTAGGAGGATCACCAAACTTTTGAGGCCAGCCTGGGCTACATAGTGAAAAAAAACAAGTATCTGTGTCTATATCTACATCTGTATCATGATGTTTTTCTAGCTGCTTTATGAAAGTGTTTTTTCATTATCCTCTCAATCTTTCTATATTTTTTCAATATCTCAAATTAAAGTGGGGCTCAGTGGTAGAGCGTTTGCCTAACATATGCAAGGGCCTGGGTTCCATCTCCAGCACCAGCACCAGTTAAAAAAAAAAAAAAAAGAAAAGAAAAAAGAAACCCTCAAATTAAAAACCACTTGAAAGGCCAGGTGTGGTGGTACATGCTTGTAATCCTAGCACTTGGGAGGCAGAGGCCGGAGGATCTCTTTGAATGTGAGATCAGCCTGGTCTACATAAGTGAGTTAGAGGCCAGCTTGAACTATGTAGCAAGACCATGTCTTAAAAAAAAAAAATTTTTTTTTTTTTGGGTCTTTTTGAGACAGGGTCTCGCTGTGCAGTTCAGGCTGCCTTGAGCTCCAGTCTCAAGATAAAAATCACACTGCAAGCTATTTCACAAAGAGAGAACTAAAGACAAAAGTGACATCAGAAGTGACTTTGTAGCCCAGGCTGGTCTCAAACTCACAACAATCCTCCTGCCTCAGCCTCCTGAGTTCTGGGATTACAGGTGTGTGCCACCATGCCCAGCAAAAAAAAAAATTCTTTTTAGAGGGGAAAAAAAGAAGCAGAAAAAAATCCCTTAAAAGAATTTAAGCAGCTCCACTTGATGAGAACTCAGGTGTGAAGAGGATTTTTTACCATACTACTTTAACTAGTTACCATTTATAGGTATTACTTTCAGAATACTAATCTGTACCTAGCCACGTAAGTTTTCCTGATACCTCAGCCTTCCTAAAAATGACAAGAGAATATTCAAGAAGAACTTATTGTTAAAAAAAAAAAGAAAAACAATTTTAACTGTAACAAGTTAAAGACAAAGGTTTAAAAAAAGGACAGAGTCAGCCTGTGCCTTGCTCTTGCACCCCGGGCATCTGGAGACTCACCCAGATTGTAGAGGTACTCGTAGCTGGGCAGGTTGTAGCCTACGATGTAGTGTGTCTTCCACCCGCCGAACAGGGGGAAGCGGGGCCGGATCTCCATCTCCACGGAGTCATCCAAGATCAGGAGGTGGCTGGTGGAGACGTTGCCGATCTCATCCCGGTAATAGACATCCTGGGCGGCCGCAGGGAGGATGGTCTGCAGAGATGGGGACCCCATGAGCTCGGGGAGCCTGCTGGGACCCAGCCAGCTCAGGTACAACTGAAACTGCATGCACCCAGGTCCTCGTCACCACCCAACCCCACAGTTCCCAACTTTGAGCAAGCAGCCCAACAGCAAAGCCTCGGAATTTCTAGAATCACATCTAATTCTCAGTCAAGGTTGGTAAGTGACAAATCTTCTAAACAATACCACTGCAAATACTGCAGATTTCACACCAAGATAAAAATCACACTGCAAGCTATTTCGCAAAGAGAGAACTAAAGACAAAAGTGACATCAGAAGTGGTAGGGCTTATGAAAGGGATTTCTCCACCAGGTATTCTTTTCTTCTGTTATTTTTATTACTATACGTTCACAACACATAGGAATTACATTCCACTTGGGGAACCGCACACACATATATCCCTCTTAGTCCTTTTTAACTTCCCTTCTCCACCCCAGCCTCCTCTCTCCCCCTATTCCCAAATCCCCTTCTACTTCCACAGTCTGTCTCCCTGTGTCCTATTACCTTTTATTTTGTTCTTCATTTATACTTTCTGTTTCTCATATAAGAGAAACCACACAATATTAAAGCTCATGTGTCCGATTTCCTCCCCTTAACATTATGGTCTCAGGCTGCATCCATGTTCTTCCGAATGCCACGTTTCTTCTCTTTTATAGTTCAGTACTATGGCATAGCCTATTAAGAAATCTGTTGATGGACATACAGGCCACATCCAAGACTTACCTTGTTTGAGCTGTGCGATTATAAACACGGGCATCCATGAACCACTGTAATATGATGTCTTAATTCTTTCCCAATACTACCTTTCAGGGTAATATTATAGTATCTTCCAAATTTGCAATTTACCTCTGCTCACACGGTGTGCCTTTCTGTGACATGTGAATACATGAAAATGTTTATAAAATTTCACTGAAAGGACGAAAAAGATATAAAACTGCATGTGCAGCATGATTAAATGTTTTCTTAAAAAAATTACAAAAAAGTAGTATCTCAAAAATGCCCACAAAACTGAGTATGGTATTCCTTTTTCTTTCTTTCTCTTTCCTTTTTTTTTTTTTTTTTTTGTCTTTTTGAAATAAGGTTTTGCTATGCAGTTCAGGCTGGCCTCAGACTCACACTGATCCTCCTGTCTCAGCCTGCTGAGTGCTGGGATTACAGGTGTGTGCCACCACACCTGATCTTCCTTTTTCTAGTATAGTATTCTCTTTAAAAAACATGGTCTGTGGCCTAGGTGGTGGTGCATGCCTATCATGTCAGCACTGGGGAGGCTGAGACAGGAAGATCATGAGCTTGAGGCCAGGCTGGACCACGAAGTGAGACTGTCTCAAAAAGCAAAACCAAACAAAAAAACTAGTATTTAAAAAACATGGTCTAGTTTTGTTTTTTTTTTTAAAGATTCTATGTGCTGACACCGTCACTTATAGTCAGTCCCTAAAATCTGTCTGTACCTGGCTGGCTTCAGACAGCAAGAAGAGGGCAGAGGAAACGCTGAGCCCACCAGGCCCACCTTGAAGGAGCGGATGGAGGAGATCCCGCTGTCTGGCTGCCTCTGGTAGTCGTAGCGCGAGAAAGGCCCCTTCAGCACAGCCCCCGTGTGCTTCAGGTCTACGTTCTCCTCCACGGCGATGTTGCCCCAGTGCGAGACCTCGATGACACGCGTCATGCTGGTGATGGTCAGGAAGGGGCTGTTGTTCTCGTAGTGCACTTTGAAAGTATCCTGGCAGGGAGGAAACAGGCAGTTCCACACTTTGACAACAAAGGACACAACACTAGTGTCTTGGTTACTCTTCTCTCGTTGCTGATAGAAAATACCCAATGCCCAAATTAAAGAGGGAAAGGTTTATTTAGCTCACAGATTGTGGAGGTTTCAGTCCATACTTAGCTGGCTCCATGGCAGAGTGGCACATGGCAGAGAGCAACGGTTCATGGCGGTGGGAAACAGCAAAAGCAACAAGAGCAAAAAGGAAGGAGCAGCAAGAGCAAGTCTTTCCCTCCCTGACACTGAATTCAGGCTTCCAGCCCCAGGGCGGGTGTAGCACTCACACCCCTAACCCCAGCACTGGACTGTGAGTCAATCATAACTCTAGGAGCCCGCCCCACGACTGCATGAGGCTTTGTGGGGACATGCAGACACAAACCGCGACAACTAGTTTACATCAAATGAGCTGGAGAATGGTTACATGAGCAACAGAATGGTTAAATGGCGATGTACCTACCACAGGCAGCATTTTAGAATCATGACTAGGAGGACAATCTGCTGACAGATGACAACACATGTCCATGGAGTATTATCGACCAGACCAGCTGGCTGGAAGACATATCATTTCCAGTATACATGCCTTCTCTATCTTAAAAACTGGAAGGTCTACCGCTGTGGGTAGAGCTTGACACAGCACTCACCTACCTGTAATGCAGGGCCCTGGCCTCCACCCCCAAGCCTCAAAGAAGTGAAAGACAAGATACCTAAAAGCAGAATCTCACTATAGGAAGCAAGCAAAACTACAGTTTTGTTTCCTATTTTCTACTTGCTATTTTGATTTTCTGAATTTCTACAAGGAGCTTTTCAAATTGCTTTTTAAATAGGTTTTTGAGCTGGGCGTGGTGGCACACAGCCGTAATCCCAGCACTCAGGAGGCTGAGGCAGGAGGATCGTTGTGAGTTGAGACCAGCCTGGGCTACAAAGTGAGCTCAAGGCCAGCCTGAACTGCATACTGAGACCTTGTCTCCAAAAGACAAAAAATAAAATAAAATAAAACAAAATATACAGGTTTTTGGTTTTAAAATAAAAGGCTAAATTATAAATTTAAAAAAAACCTGTAACAAGGAAACATATATGAACACTAATAAAGCCATGAGTACCATTCAATAAGCTAGAAGATAAGTTACTGGGTTTTTCTCACATGTAAAAGTTCACAGGAGAAATGCTTCTAGCTAACACATATACAGCTTTTTTTGTTTTTGTTTTTGTGTTTTTTGGTACTGGGAATTGAACTCAGGACCTTGAGCTTGCCAGGCAGGTGCTTGTGCCACTGAGCTACATCCCCAGCCCAACACGTATATAGCTGATGAGTCAGAGCGAACACACATGCATGTGTGAGGTATTCTTTTATGACCGCTAGAGAAGTATGTCATGGCATTTCATTCTCAAGACAACAGGCTGAGGTAAATTTCTCACCCTCGTCACACAAATAAAAGCAAGGCCTAAGGCCTAGCACTCTCCACACTTGCTCAAGGTCTCAAGCCTAAGCTAAGGGGCAATGCTAGGACTTCAGGGATTCAGCTACGTGCATGTTCTGCCTCCACAGGAGGCCAAAGACAGTCCACATCTGTATCTCCAGCGTCCCTCAGCACCTTCACTGGCTTTACCACTCAAGTGAGGACAGTGCTTAAACAAAAAAACCTCTGGTGACTGAATCCTTCTAACAGACTTGTATGACTACACACCCAGAGCCCTGCAGAAATGCAAAATAAAACATCAAAAAGCCAGAAAAACACTCTTTCTCCCAAAAGTCCATGGAAAGGGTAAAATAATACATATTTTAGCCAGGCCTGGTGACACAGGCTTATGTTCCCAGCACTCTGGGAGGCTGAGGCAGGAGGATCAGTGTGAGCCCAGCCTAGGTAACTCAGCAACTTAGACTTCGTTTCAAAATTTAAAAAACAAAACAAAACAAAACAAAATACAGTCTGGGGATGCAACTCAATGTGAAGGCCCTGGGCTCAAGCATCAGCACCACCAAAAATAATAACAATGTTAATTCCTATGGTTCTCAGTATTTTATACTTTCATCCTATGACTAGACCTTTTCATGTTCGACTCATTCATCATCACGTTCCACAGCATGTAGTGCAGTAAGGGCAAGGGTGCAGAGGAACTGGGAGCTTCATACTGCTGGTGTTAGAGGAGACAGGCCGAATCCTTCGAACTATTGGGCAAAACACAGCAAGAGGCTTTAAGGGTTGATGCAGAGCACAGTGGTTGGGTGTGCACTTAGCAAACGTAAGACACTAGGTCCAATCCCCAGCACCAACCTCTACCCAGGAAAAAGATATTTTAAAATATCCGTGTTTTGATTTGAAAATTGTTCCTTCAGCTGAATATAGTGGTGCACACTTATAATCTGAACTATTTGAGAGGTTGAGACAAGATCTCAAATTTGAAGTCAGCCTGGGCAACTTAAATAGACTGTCCTAAAATAAAAGGGATGGGGATGTAGCTCAGTAGTAGAGCACTTGCCTAGTATGCACGAGGCCTTGGGTTCCATCCCCAGTACTATTAAAAAGATTTTTTTTTTTACTTCAGAAAATCTGTCCTGCTGGGTGTGGTAGTATAGGTCTATAATCCCAGACTGGGGAGGCTGAGGCAGGAGGATCACCATGAGCTCCAGGCAAGCCTGGCTACAGAGTGAGTTCAAAGCCAGCTTGGAATAATAACTAGATCTTGTGTCAAAAAAAAGCCTGTCTTGAGAATATACACAAAGTTATATGCAAGTATTAAAATGTGTTATGTACATGTACCCACCCTCCACGAAGCATGTAATCATTATGTATTGCAAACACAGTCATAAAAAAATTAATTAAAAAGTTATATGCAGGGGCTGGGGATTTAGCTCAGCGGCACAGCGCCTGCCTGGCAAGCGCAAGATCGTGAGTTTGATTGCCGGTACTGGAAAGAAACAAAAAACAAAAAACAAAAAAAAAAGAAAAAGTTATATGCAAAGAAGAGATGCACATTATAGTACTAAATAGAAAAAACTGCCTGGCTGTTGCAAGTTGGGAAATAATCTATGGGACAGCACATCTGTGGGATGGCCACTGAAAAATGCTTTACAAAGGTAATATGGTAATGCAGTAAAATGTTGAATATTTTAAGTGAAAAGAATTAGGCAATACTTTATATACAACATGATCTCTATACTAATGACATGATCTCTTTCAGTGCCAGGGTATAGCTTAGGGCTACAGTGCTTGGCTAGCACAACATTTTATCAATTTAAAAGGAAGAGGCGGGTGGGGAGCGCCAGCCTTCTGGCTGGCTAGCTTCCTGCCTGCTGGCTCCTGGAGGGTGGGCCCCCGGCACACGGGGAGCCTCGGGCGGGGAGCGCCGGTCTTTTGGGGTCTTCGGACCGGCGACTCATTCCCGACCTCGTCGTTCCCCGGACGGAGGACTTCTGGCGCACAGGGAGCCTCGGGCGGGGAGCGCCAGTCTTCCGGCTGGCTAGCTTCCTGCCTGGTGGCTCCCTGAGGGTGGGCCCCTAGCGCACGGGGAGCCTCGGGCGGGGAGCGCCGGTCTTTGGACCGACGACTCACTCCCAGCCTTGTCGTTCCCTGGAAGGAGGGCTTTCCGCGCACAGGGAGCCTCGGGCCAGGAGCGCCAGTCTTCCGGCTGGCTAGCTTCCTGCCTGGTGGCTCCCTGAGGGTGGGCCCCCAGCGCACGGGGAGCCTTGGGCGGGGAGCGCCGGTCTTCAGATGGGCGACTCACTCCCGGCCTCGTCGTTCCCCGGAAGGAGGGCTTCCGGTGCACAGGGAGCTGGGGGTGGGGAGCGCCAGCCTTCTGGCTGGCTAGCTTCCTGTCTGCTGGCTCCCGGAGGGTGGGCCATGCGGCAGCGAGCACTATTGCGCGTCGGCCCTTAGGCCGGCCGCCGCCGCTCAATTGAGATCCATCATGACACAGAGAAACAGTGACACAATTGGCCCACCATGCACCGACAGCAGTTGCCCACCCACAGATGTGTGTGAATCATTGAAACTTTGAACAACCCCTGGGAATGCATGCCATACAAC